TGAATGAGACTTCATCGAAACGTTGCCTAGATACTTCGAATCTTACGCGGGAGAAAACCCGAACAACCAAAGATCCACATATAAATACCCGCGAGAACCTCAGAAAACAGATATATATACCTATATACTTTTTTCTTTTAAGTATTTAGTGTGCACTTTAAGGGAATGTACCAAGCAGAATTTGATTGAAAATAGGTATGTGTTATAAAATAGAGGTTAGAAAATGAATGTTATAACTGTAAAGATGTAACTTAAATTTTTAAATAAGATTTGAAAAAAGATACAAAGGTGTTACACTCCAGTCTAGTAATTACAGGGGAAAATTTGTTTTATGTGAAAAGATGATATGAAATTGTAAACAGGACAGACGAAAGTATAAAAACATTGATTAGAAAGATTTTAAAAATTAGAAAAAGATATGAATTAAGAAAGGAATGAGATATTTTAAAATAAGGCTATAGGAAGTAAAGAAAGGGAAAAGCTATTGAAAAAGTTGCGAAAATAGTTATAAGATTTGGATTAGAATGTATAAGATAAATATGTATTGAGTTTATGTCTGTATGGAGAAGTGATAACGTGGGGCCACACTGTTCTCAAAAAAAGATATTTTATTTGTATTTGTATGTTTTGTGAAAACTTAAATAAAACTTTTATTTAAAAAAAACTGTCTAGGAAAAAGTATCAAATAGAGGGAAATCATAGGAACATAGAGGTTACGAAATAGTTTGGACTTCAGATCAGAATTGTAATGTTAAAAGCAAAATGTGAGCAGAATACATAGATTATTATAACAACTTTGTGTGGTAAACATTTAATAAGAATTTTTTTAATTGTTAGAGATAATATATAATGGGTCTCCAGTGACTTTCAACTTTCATGTAATAGAAACATCATAGAATTTGTCAAAATTTATTTCCATTTTAGACTAACTACAGTGATCTTCTCTAACACAAATTGATGCTAAAAAAATAAATATTTTAGGATTCAGTTTTCTTGTCCATCTTGGCTCTAAGTACATAGTTTTGATATTATCCATCCTGAAGATAGTATACCTCCTGTTTTTCATTGTTCCCTTCTGGTCCCACATTGCTCCTCACATACACTCATATCTAGGCATACACATATACCTCATGTGCATTGCGGATTTGTGCCAAGAATATGTTTTAAGTACCCAATGCCAGAAGTGCAATCTGGCAATTTGATTCCTTGGAAAAGATCCCCAGACAAAGACATACACACTTCATTTCAGTAGGTCCATTTGTGAAACTCCCCAAATTCATTTCCTGACTGCTGCACGTTCTACTTTTTCCTGATACTAAAGGGAAAATATATTAGTTTGGGAAGATAAGAATGACACAATATTCTCCTGCATAGAATGGAAGAAGAGAATTTGGGGTTATGGGAAACATCCAAGAATAAGCTAGAAGAGACTCTCAAGTCCAGGTAAGGAAATAAAAATCCTCCTCCACCCACCCACCCAGCCACACAGACTGAGAGCTTAGGACAAAGTATCGTGTTGTGAACTGCAACTGACAAATCATTGCTGCTGCTAAGAAATGAACTGAAGGCATATTATCTGTTGATCAATCAATCAATCCAAAATATAATGGAATTGTAAGGATCTACTTTCCAGTCACCCATGATGGAGCAAGGAAAGGAATATGCTATGTCCTGATAGCTCCAGGTCATCAGAAAAGGAAGTGAAGATAGAGAAGATGATAATGCAAAGGTTGAAGATGATGAGATGATATAAGGGAAAATTATTTTTGTTGGACATTTGGTCAAAAATGATTAGAGCTTCTGCCTCGAAAAGTGCAATGAATTTCAATATACATCCCATCACCAATTGTCTCTTTCAGTTTATCTGTTTTTAATCAGTATTATTTTGTTTTTGACATGTTCGTTATATGTACCTTGTCCAAAATACATTGTTTGAGTTGGCAGCCATGTAAACCCTTCAAATAAATAAATTTGTAAACAAGTGACGGATGGCAGACATCTTTAATTTGGGAAATGAGCAGCTACATAACCATTGCCTCTAAAAGGAAGAGGCCTAGAATTTATGCCTGAAAAAAAAAACTCTATTGGTCAGGATTGTAGAGTTCTGTTAGATATTTTAATATCTTTTTGGGAATGCAAAACAAAGGAAGATTCATCAACATCGCCAGAACATATACAGTCTGAGACTGGTTAGAGAAGGTTTGGTGATACCCTTGCATATGTGAGAGAGTGCTAGCTATAGGTCTTTGGGCAGTTATTCTCTATTATCAGCAATAGAACTTTAGTGACTAAATTAGTAGACCAGCAAAATACTGTGGACATAATATATTTAGATTTCAGCAAGGCATTCGACAAAATAGACCACAATCTACTTCTTGGTAAGCTAGAAAAAAGTGGAATAGATAGCACCACCACTAGATGGACTCACAACTGGCTGACAAACTGTTCTCAACGAGTAGTTCTTAATGGGTCTAAGTCTACCGGGAGGGAAGTAAGCAGTGGGGTGCCACAAGGTTCTGTCTTAGGCCCGGTACTCTTCAATATTTTCATTAATGACTTAGACGAGGGAATAGAAGGTGAACTTACCAAATTTGCAGATGGTACTAAGCTGGCGGGAATAGCTAACACCCAAGAAGATAGGCTCAAGATCCAGATGGATCTTGACAGACTAGAACACTGGGCCGTATCTAACAAAATGAAATTCAATGTAGAGAAAAGTAAAGTCCTATACTTAGGGAAGAAAAACCAAAAGTACACATATAGATTGGGTGAAGCCAGGCTCAATAGCAGTAACTTGAGAGGGATTTTGGAGTCTTAGTGGACAACCAGCTAAATATGAGACAGTAGTGTACAGCAGCAGCCAAAAAAGCTAAAGCAATCCTAAATTGTATTAACAGAGGGATACAATCAAGACCAAGGGAAGTACTAATACCACTCTATAAAGCCTTAGTAAGACCACACCTATAATACTGCATCCAGTTTTGCTCACAAAATTGTAAAAAAGATGTTGAGACTCTAGAAAAGGTATAGAGAAGAGCAACCAGGATGATTAGGGGACTGGAGACTAAGACATATGAAGAACGGTTACAGGAACTGGGCTTGGCTAGTCGAGTGAAAAGAAGGACCAGGGGAAATATGATAGCAGTCTTCCAATATTTAAGGGGCTGCCACAGAGAGGAGGGGGTCAATCTATTTTCTAAAGCGCCTGTAGGCCAGACAAAGAATAATGGATGGAAACTGAACAAGGAGAGATTGAACCTGGAAATAAGGAGAAACTTTCTGACAGTAAGAACAATCAACCAATGGAACAGCTTGCCCTTGGAAGCTGTGGGAGCGCCATCATTTGAGACTTTCAAGGAGAGATTGGACTGCCATTGGACTGTCAGAAATGGTGTAGGGTCTCCCGCTTGGGCAGGGGGTTGGACTAGATGACCTATAAGATCCCTTCCAACTCTTGATTATCTGTTAAATGTATAAGTAAATGGACCTGAAGCAATCCTTCTGTGGATTTTAGAAAACAGTTATAGACCTACCTGTTTCTCCTGGCATTCCACGGAATGTGAGCAACCATATTAAATGTTTAGCATTTTCCTATTTTAATACAATTTAATTTTTCAAGTTTATTAAATTTTTAAATGTCTAAAAGTAACAAGGTTTGTAGAAACAAACAGGAGGTCTTCACTAGCACACATTGAAATTTATCTTATCTCACATACTAGTTGTCATCTAGATTGATCCATTGTGAAAAATAATCTGTAGATTTGTTTACTGTGTGTACACCATGTAGACTTTTCTCAGAGAAACTACCCAATAAGAGAGGTGGAAAGCTAAAAACCTAAACTAAAATTTAAAAAATATGAATGCCATATTCCAACAGGCAAGATGTCAAAATGGTTGAGGCTGATATTGGCTATAATCAAAATCACTTTAAGATAAGATTACAGCTGTCCCCCCCAACTGATCATTATGTATGGTGACAAATTACATCAGCTAAGGAATATCCCTGTCTATAAAATAAATCAGTCAAGGAGAAATAAGCTCTTGACATCACATCTAAATTTGCATAAAATTTCATTAGTACAAGCTTTTAAAGTTGTGATAAAAGCCATTTAAATTGAATTTTTTTTCTTAAAAAACTGATAATACTGCAGATCTGAAAGTTTATAGTTTTTTTTAGTTATAATGAAGCATTAGCAGGCCATTAATTATTTATTAAAAAGTGCTATTTTAAAAGGCTATTTATAATGTACTATATAGTTATTTTCCAAATGGGATAACTTTGTCACCAAGATATAGCTAAACAACTGCTAGAGATACAATGATATATTTAGCAGATTAGGTTGCAAAAGAACTACTTTTTTTTTTCATCAACACAATTTAAATTTATTGGCTTTTATTCAGAAAACTGTAATAAAAATAATAAATGAATAGAACATCAAGGATATCACAACAGACTGTAGTTAGAAAAAGAGAAGTTGTGATTTTCTATCTTGTTTCAATGGAAGGCCCACAATTTAGAGTCTGTCCAAATGCAATAATACATGAATTATTCTAATATATTTTGAACTTGTTTTCTTTAATTAAATCTTCTAGGAACTACATTTTAGGATAATGCTAGTGTCAGCGTTCCAGCAAACCTCCATTCCAATTAGTAACCCCAAGACAAACGTATCTCAAAAGTACCTTTATTTGAATAGCACCTGGCACATCTGTGGAATCCCGAATCTGGGCTTTCCACAATTTCCCAACTACAAATCCATCCCCCTTGGTTGTCATCACATCATATGGCCCAATCACGATCCGTCCAAAAGTAAGATCCTTATTTCATCCTGCACCATACTAAATGACCTTGAACTAACAAAAGAATTTTATTTTGTTTACTTAGAGCTACTTAATTGAAATCACCCCCTCCCACTTTCTCAGGCTATGTGGCAGCGAGGAATATGGCTTCCAAAGCTGACAGGACAATATTGAATATTCAATAGGAATATTCTGACTACTCCCTTCATGATGGCAGAAATATATGCTGAATGCTTGTTAACAATAATTAATTTAAGCTTGCTAAATATTTTGAACAAAAAGGCCAGAAAACAAGGACCACACAGAATAAGAGTTATCATATAATTTAATGAAATATGTAAATTAAATAGGATAAAAACAGATATAAGCACCTTCGGCTGCACTTAGAATCCAAAATAGGCAAAGTGCCCCTTGAAAGGACAAAGCTAATATTATAAAATGAAATACAAGGAAATCAAAATAAATTACCAATCACTACATTCACAAACAATTCTCACAAAATAATGTATAGGTTCAATATGGAATTTGTGAAGAAGGGAAGATGATTCACCCTAGAAGAAAGAAAATAATTAAAAAGTACTGCCTTAGAAATTAAGTATATTTCTGTTAAATAATTGGTGCGTGAAATTTTAAAAATTATTATTAACACAGTGAAAATATCAGTAAATTATCTGGTGGCCATATAATTCATGCTTCTGTTTATCATGCTTAAACTGCTATTATCTTTTTCTGACAGGCATTTATGAAAAGAACAATCATCTTCAACAAAAGATAAATAAACAAATATCTATAAATAACATTGAAATCTACCATATTCATTAACCAGAAATACTTAAAACATGCCTACAACATTCCTATTTAATTTCTTCTGAAAACTTAACAGAGTATTTTATAATTCCTTTAAATGTGCAGCCAAGCATATAGTTATATAAAAATAGGGCTTTAGAATGATTAAATTTCCTAGATAATGAGCAGATAATGGATGGGATCTGTCATTAGACAAAACTAGATTTTCTGGACTGGCAATATATTAGAAATGGAGATGAAAAAAAGCCACATAGATTAATTTTCCATTGTCAGAATTTAGCACTAAGTAATGAATTCTCCGATATGACCAAATGATCATCCTTTTTAAAACAGTAATGCTCTTGAGAGGGTTTAAGGGGATTTTTCATCTGCTGGTTGAGACTCCTTGGAAAAGCATACTTTATTCTAATTATTCAAAAGTGACGTTAAATGCATTTTTAAACAATTGGTTTATGTATTCTTTCCATTCAGGGAGACTACTTTTATGTAGGCAATCAAAGAACTAGTTTATATGTCTGAAAATGTAAATTGATCTGCAAGTATCTAATTTCCATAGATTTAAAAAAATAAATCTGTTAGTAACTTATTCAAATCAGATAAACAAAAGTATTTTTTCTTCCTAAGTAGTTTCTGCAACAAATATTAAACATATTCTTCCTTCTAAAGTCAATATGCAGAATGTGAGATTAAAATATTATTTACTCTTTCAAAGTGTAAAAAAATAGGATAAATATGTTTTTATTTTCCAAGGATTTGACAAATTACGTTGTTCGAACAATCTTGTAATCTAGGCGAGGGAATGTAATATACACAGATTGACATATAGCAAAAATATGAATATGCAAAATAACTTTTTAATTCTTATAAGATCACCGCTGCAATCCAAGTATGTTTGCACAACTCTATATAAGAGGTAGAGTTTATGTACTATTCAGTGTTAGAAATTTTCTTTTCTTTAGAAGAAAATATGGGATCTCTTAATTAATGTATGTGGCAAAGCAACTGTTTGAACACAAGCTACACTTATAGAAACTGCCTTTTTTAATTATTAAGGTGATTCTGGAGTCATGATCGTACACAGACACATGCATAACCACACATATATGTTTGTTACTGCTAGCCTAGTTATGTGAAACTCAGTGATAGTTAAATGATATCATAGCGCCAAGAACAGTGATCATAGGGTGTAATGTTATCCATGAAAAAGTAAAAGATTCAGAAACTCTACACCTTCATTACTTGTTCTAAAAAGCATGAAAATCCATTGGAACATCAAAATTATATATGATTTATTCCTATTATTTCTCAGGTTAACCTACCTAGCCTCTGACACCAATACGGAACTCAGGGTTACTTATTGTCTTCAATGGAGTGGGGGCAGAAGGCAAGAGGTTGATCCTTATAATAGGATATTTGTTTGGAACTATTTTCTAGTAAGAAAGAAAAAAACCCACTTGTTTCATCTACTAGTGCATAGGAGAAGACATCACGATCTCATTAAGACATATATATTTTAACCGAAGTTATATGAGAAATGTGCTATTGGAAAACAACATACAAATTATCAAAGAGACTAAACTACTATAGAGACAGGGTTGCCACAACATTGCAATATCAATCCAGTCCCTTCTAAGCTTGTATATGGAGCAACCATGCAAGACAGTGCATTAATTTGCATACCAGATCATCTCACATATTGCTATTATTAGAGAATGAATAATATATTTAGACTATTAAGCTAGTATTCATAATGGCACACTGATATTCTTCAGTCTTCTTTCAGTTTTGAAAAAAGTAAATATAGGAAAATTAATTTATGAACAGACATCTTCAGTTAAAATTAACAGTTTTAGTGGTGTCCATAAAGGGTATCAAAACAGGCAAGTTGATGGATGCTACAGATGCCATCTTGCTTGTTTTAATATCTCTCATCGTGCCAAATGGATTATATGAATGGATTATTCAGGAAATAATGCTGTTACATATTACATTGTTGCTTCTACAAATACTCTTTCATTTACAACAGACTTGATAAAGTGCAAATTTGGCCAAAATATCTAAATAAAACATGCTTTTTGAATTGCATCCAAAGATAGTTAGACAAGATTTCTTCCTCTGGTAGCATGCTATCATTATTCAACTCTAGCAAATGTTGTATTCATATTTCATTCTGCTGTCTCCTTGACTAGCTCATTACTGTTATTGCCCATCTTTTCTTTAGTCCTTTATTTGTTTTGAAATCTCTTTACTTCTTGTCAAGTAACAACCATTTGACCCACATTTCTGCTACGTGACTCCGTTCCTCCAACAGTTGCTTCTCTGAAAAAGTATCTCTGTGAGACTCTGCATCCCTTTAATGGAGAAGGGAATTTCAATTTTTCTCAGCTTTTGCCCCTTGCATTCTATAGAGGCATGCCATGCATCGTTTTTCATTAAACTAAGTACTTGGTAGCTGAAGAATAATATTAATTTCTCAGGCTGGCAGTCTGGGCTCAATTTTTAGGGATAGCTCGTACAGTGTGTCTTCATCTATTATGAGGCTTTTGTCCAACAAGTATTGAGTGACCTGGGAAAACGAAATATGAAACAATTATTTAGTGATGTTGGAATCATTATACACTTCCTTGAATAGAATTGTAATTTCTGTCAAAATGAGATATTTCAATCTTCTTTAATGCCAACACGGGAAGAAGCAGATACATGAATTAGAAAAGAACAGAAATACTTTTTTAATGCAGATTGCAGTCAGATGATTTAATCTGCCATAATCCCACCAGCTCTCCCATCAAAGCAATGTGGCTAAAAATCACCTTCTGTGAGCTATTTTTAAATTGTCATCTCACTCAATGCAAAGTGATGGTTACTTCTATGGATCAGGGGTGGGGCTGACAGTTGGCAGAATTTTGAATCTTGGTCATAAGTACTTTTGGGTCTGTGGTAACTTATGTCTGGTTTTAAGTTGCTGGTATAACATCAGGAATTCAGCTATCTCAACATGATCACTAAGCTCTGAAGCCAAACACTGATCAATCCTTATCAACAGATACCATTTATGAAAGCCTACACCAGTATAATGCTAAATTAAACTTTAAGTTACAAATCTCTTCATATACTTTGGTGATAAAAAAATATGGGGCAGCATTTATTAATATATCCAGAATAAGGTCAAAAATGTATACGGTGATAAAAGGAGATATGAAAACATTGTACCTTTTGTTGATGTTCTATTCGATAGGAAGCCTGTTGGAATTGACGTATTTCCCTGATAATATGTGATATCTGTTAAATAAGCAAGTATCAATAATAATTTCTTGTTGAATTTTAGAGTAGTGGTTTGAATTCTAACTTTTCTATATAAAATTGTAAAATATAGCAAGGGTTATTCTTTGTTCTTCTTTCTGGAGCTCTTTTAGTCTCTGAACACTTCATTCTAGGCCAAAAGCAGGATTTATAGTCCAACCCAGTAGAATTAAACTAGGAAAAATTTATCCTTTTAGTGGCATTTTCCACTTTATACAACTGTTTTCCTAATAGCATTTCCCTGGTTGTCCAAATAGGTAACAGTGGATATGGTTTATCAACTGGAATCAACAAGAGTTGGGGAGGCATATTTGATGCTACTAGGATTAGCCTAAATTCTGCAGTAGAGAAAATTGTTTTTTCTGTTGTTCTTTCTCTCCAGCTCCTTTTTAACTGAGGATATGCAAAATGGGTTTTTGAGTAGGTTTGAGTGTTCCACGCTTTAATGGGTAGATTAATTTTGTTCTGGGTTTAATTTAACTCCCTAGGGTTTAATAAATATGGCAAAAATGGGTATGGATTATGTATTTCAAAAATAGTGGTTTTTAATCCAGTTTAGGAATGATTCTGTGTTGCCAGAGACACAGAGAAGGAGATTTGACTGGGTTAGTATCTATGTTATGGCTGTGATGGGAACTGGGCCAATCAAGACTACAATACTGATTCTCCAGAATATACCAACAGATGTTAATAGGACATTGATTGTAAATACAAGTATCAACAATTGCTTTTTAAAATTTCTATCTGCACTAACTATGAAATATAAAAAAAAATGTAGAAAGAAATTACCATTCGCATTTTAGAAAAATTGACGAGGCCTTCTTCAGTAAAGTTTGGTGTTCCTTCTTCAATAAATGCCAGATCTGTGAGGTACATCCCAAGATATGGCACCGAAGGAGGATTGCAACTGAAGGATAAGAAATACCAGATGTCAGAATTGTAAATTACAATCTTTTCTCCCTTTTCCTACTATCAAAATGTACACCAAATAAATACCTTTATTTAGAAGTAAGTTGCACAATATCTAGCAGAAACTACAGGAAATCCTTAACTTTCAATTCATTTAGTGACCATTCAAAGTTACAACAGCACTGAAAAAAGTGCCTTATGACAGTTTTTCACACTTACAACTTTGTAGCATTCCATGATCATGTGATCAAAGTTCAGATGTTTGGCAACTGACTCAAAGTTATGACCGTTGCTGTGCCCAAGGCAGGGATGAGATTCAATTTTTTTAACAACCGGTTCTGTGGGCATAACTAAGTTGGTGGGTGTGGCTTGGTGGTCATGTGACTGGCTGGGCATGGCCAACTCAGCATCACTCACATTGCGGCATGCATCTCCTCACTTGGCCTCTCATGACTGTGGGGACGTTGCAATAATCGTAAGTGTGAAAAACGGTCATAACTCACTTTTTTCAGTGCCATTGTAACTTTGAATGGTCACTCACACAAGCGAAATACCAGCAAAGGAGGGGAAAAAACTCCAGAGAAGTTCCTGAGACAGGAAGTCTAGTCCTGCCAAGAATATAATAAGGGTTAATGAAGAGGCAGTTTCTGTAAGCAACGCCAGAATGTTTCCTTCCTGCCTTCCTTACAGGATTAGCTAATGATTTCTTCTAACAACCGGTTCTCTGAACTGCTTAGAATGTTAACAACCGATTCTAGTGAATAGGTGCAGGGGGAATCCCACCCCTGGCCCAAGGTCATGTGATCCCTTTTTGCGACCTTCTGACAAGCAAAGTCAATAGGAAAGTCAGATTCAAGTAACAACTGTGTTTACAGCATCAACTATGGTGATTCACTTAACAACTCTGGCAAGAAAGGTCGTAAAATGGAACAAAACTCACTTAACAAATGTCTCACTTAAGAACAGAAATTTTGGGCTCAATTGTAGTCATAAGTCAAGGACTACTTGTACTCCGAATATGGATAGTTAGAACAATAGCCTTAGAAAATACTATATTTATTAGGCTGAATTCATGATATAATCATATTGTATTTAACTTTCAGGTTTGATTGTCATTATACTATTTTAATTAATTCAATGAATTGCAGGGAATTAAGTGTATGAATAACAAGGCAACCTCCAGCCTACGGACTAAAGGTAGAACATGCATCAAATCCAAACATAACCTTTTTTCTCGAACATATTTTAGCGCCAAGAAGACAAAACATCATTACTTCACTGAGTCCTTTCTCTCAAAGAAGAGGTGTCAAAGTTCTTCTTTATCGTCTCTTGCACACATTATATGCTCAATGAAGCTGGGGTTATTTTTCTCTAACTCATCCTGCATAGAACAAGCATTCCTCGATTCCTCCTTCATGGAAGAACTGTAGGAAGAGGATTTTGGATGCAAGGGGAACAACTCTGTAACAGAAGCTTCCATTCTACAAACCAGGGGTGTAATCCAATGTGCCGTGGATGTGATCTTTAGCTAAATCAAAAGGTCATAACAACATTCAGGCTTTAATATCTTCTGTTCTCCTTATTACACAGATGTTAGGGAGAACGAACGCCTCAGAGTAAGAAGCAGGAGAAAAAGAGACTGAACCCTTCCTGAAGAGAAACCTATTAAGGAATATGGAAGTGAAGCCAAATTAGCCATCACTGACAAAGTTTTGATTTCAGGTTTAAATCAAAATTGTCTCAATGATTGCTAGGTTGAAGAAAGAAAAGTCTCATGCTTTTTTTAAAAAAATTAGTCTGTCATCCTCTATAGATGCAAATTTTAAATCATACAGTAATTAGAACAAAATAAGAGCCATACTTCTTGAGTGTTTCTCTCAGATTTTTAAATCTTCCCTCAGATGACACAATCTTTTGAAGTTTATCCATAAGAGCTTTAGTCTACAAACAAAAACATGACAAAAATGTAATAGAATACAAAAAGTGCTTCCTAAACAAGAATTTAGCTTCAGAGAAATGTGTAGTTCTTCAAGTAATCTTCATTAAACATAGCCCAACTGGAATAAGAAGTTGGCACAGAAAAACCTTTATATGTGAATTCATTGCTTTATTCAACTTGTTCAAATGCACATATCAAAGTCAGAATTCTGTCCTACCACATACTAACCATAACAGTCCTGAAACAGGCTCATCATAAAATTGTTTAAATGAATTCATGGCTGCATCAGACATTTACATGAAAAACATGTCATTTCTGCAAGAATAATATTTAAACCTTTACAGTAATACATCCAGAAATGCACTCTCATGAAAAGGATACCAAAAATATTAGGTTAAATAAACTGCACAATTTTCTCATGATTAATTTGGTGCTCAACAGTTATCTCACAGGGTTGGACAATCTCTTTCACCTGAGAGTAAACCTTTTTCTGAAATGTCTCAATATTAATTACTTACTTGTTTAGAAACTTTTGCCCAGGTTTTCTTTAGTCTGTAGATTGCACTTCTGTTCAAGGCTGATGTGATTTCAAGGACACCATTGTAATTGTGCAGACATCGGCAAATATCTGCCACTGCAACCCATTTCTCAATGGCATTAGCACGGGAACCGATATCAGTATAATTCATAATTTGGGATGCTACAAGATTGCTCATCTAAATGAAAGAACCAGCACCATAAATATTTGCATTTATACGACTGATTTAAACACATATTTAAATTAATGATTTAAATATGTCTGGCTTTTGGTAAACAAAACCTGTTATAAAATTGATGAAAATAAGACAGCCTTTCCCAACCTGCTACCCTTCAAAAATATTGGAAATTCTGATATCACATTTGAGAGGTGCTAGGTTGCAAAAGTCTCTAATAAACAAAAACAAAGAAATCATTGACTAGATAGTAAAGGAAACACTGTACAATAGATTCCAATAGTATACTAAGACCAATAAAGCAATATGACATCTAAACAAAAATAATTAATCAAAGTAATAAGGAACAATTTGCTTTATACTATAACTTAATAAAATATAATTTAGTTTCTTTTGCCATTGCTTTTAAAATGCTTACTACCAAACTGCTTGGATACTCTTCAGGAAAACTGGAATCCTTTGGTAACTTTTATGGTCTCAGAAATATTTTTAATCTAGCATTCTTGTATTCTTAAAAAGTATTCTCTATTTCTATTACAACTCACATCATTAAAATGTTGGCTGGTTTTCATAATGTAAGGTGTTCTTTCATTTTTATCCAATTTCATCCAACCCTGCCCAAGAAATTCTCTGGGGGGAAAAAAGAAATGCAAAAAACAGAGAATATTTATTTCTGTTTGCTCCGCTTCCTTTGGCAACAGCTTCACCATTCTGGAATGAATTCTTCTCAACTACTAAAAATGAATTGGTTATAAATGTAAAAGCCTTTACTTAAAGCCTAATTAAATTAGCGAACAAGGTTTGTTAAAAAAAAACCCATATTTTCTTTGGTAAACTTTCTCTAGCCAGATCTTTAAAGTAAGAAGAATTATGAGAAAAGTCCTAAACCTTTTATACTACAATAGGGTCCCGCTGAAATCAACTTATTTCCCTATTTAACATGATCACACCGTGTGAATCACTTATACTGCTTTATATAACTTCTTTACACTCATTGTTCCCTTTCTCCCTCCAAACAAGAAATTAATGGAATATGCTTTGAAAATGGTAGCTCCTTCTCTTTGCTGACTAAAAAAAGTAAACAAAGTACAGACATTAGAAAACATAAAGCCACCTTCTACAGAATCAGAGTGCTCATCCATCTGACCCATACAGTATATGTCAATACTGTTTAGAAGTAGTATCAACTTTCAAACCAAAATTTCACCAATAATTATTCCAAGTTTTACTCTGCGATGTAATAAACTGAACCTGGTTCCTTTATATTCAGAAATAAATTCTCTACTTTTGAATGGTCCTTCCCTGAATGCTACATATTCAGCCTTTAATGGGCTTACTATCTGTCCTACAGATTTCCTGAATTGGCAGCACATACAACATTTTATTATTGGTTCTTTGGAGCTTTATTATATACAGATATGATACCCTTTTCAGGAAATAACTGCATCCTCCTCACAAAGAACAACTTAGAAATAGTGTGCTATCACTGCATTGTGCTTTGATATTAGACTTTCATGATCCACTCATGCTGAGAGATATGCACCGATTCCATTTCTACTGTATATATGATCCATTCCAATTTTGTTGCAAATTCTTGTACTATCCAAACCTTTGCTTAGAAATATTTCAATTCCCATAATAATGATTGGAACACCACTTACTCATAAGGTATGCCTCTGAAGACAATGTGATCTAAGAGAGTTATTTGTTCAGCAAGTTCCATCGCTGATAATGTTTCAAAGCATTCTGGTTTTGGACACTCTAGCTATAAGGAAAAAATATATTTTAAACTGTTTAAGAAGCAATTATAACCTTTGTATTTGTTTTCTACAGTATTAGGTAATAGCTGTTTGTATTATTTGTGGAAGGAAAATCCTGAAAGGGAAAAGCACTTGTGTAAATATGCTCTCTGTTATTTAGGAAAAAGAGTTAGAGCAAAATCGGTTCTCGCTGAACTGATTTCAACAGAAATAAAACATAAAATACAGTTCATTTTAAAAAAATCATTTTCGATAATGAATTTTCCTTTTGGCCAATAGATTATTTACCCAGATTTTTTAAAGTTTATCATTTTATACATATTAATGAACTTCTCTCAAAATTTTAATATTTTATTTTATAACTCCTAAAATTAATACATTAAGATTTTAGAAGTTAAGAGTGCTTCAAAAAGGGCATTGACAGAATATATTCTCATTTCTCCATCATTCAAAACAGCATTTCATGAGCTCTTATTTCTGAAACCGAGAATTATTTTCCTAATGTTGTAAACTAATAAAACAATTTCATTGCAGTTTTCTAATCTTACAGGAGTCCTCAAGTTATGACAGCAATTTCCACCCAGATTTTCCATCACTAAACTGTCAAGAGTTTGCAGCAATCCAACCAGCACACAAGCAAATAATTCAGCAGGATTTATTTATAGGAGAAACTTGTTTATATACAATAATATAAAACATGATGCATGTATACAATACCCATGCAGTCCTTGCAACGTGGTAGCAAGTACAAGAACAAGAAGCAAAAGCAAAAGCAATCAGAACCACCAGAACTGAAGCAAAGAAACACAGAAGCTTCATAAGCACAGAAGCAATATAATACAGAAGCAATATTGCAAGGAAAAAACAACTCTTGTGAAGAAATCAGTCAAGCTAAACCACACCAAGGCTCCGAGCTGTATGGGGCACCAAACAGTCCGCATTGGCTGACCTGTTACCATGTCTATTCCAAATCATGAACTTTTAGATACTGACTCCTCCCTTCATGACAGATTATCCTCTGAAGAACAGTGAAGCAAGCTAATTAATTTACATTTGAGGGCTTCTCTGATATTGCAATACTTAATGTCCACATGGTTGCTTCTATTCTTTATTCTGTCACCTGTAGCCATTTTAATGCAAGCAGCATTATCCTCAAACACTATTACAGCATCATTTACGCGTAAATCCTGTAACAGCTGTACGTACCAAGTTACCTCTGAACAAGGGTCCGAGCTGTCTGGGACACCAAACAATCCCTATTGGCTGACCTGTTATCATGTCTATTCCAATTCATGAACTCTAATACACTGACACAAGCCATAACACATCACATGATTACATCACTTAGAATAGAATAGAATAGAATAGAATAGTAGGAAGGGACCTTGGAGATCTTCTAGTCCAACCCCCATTCAAGCAGGAAGCCCTGTATCATTTCAGACAAATTGTTGTCCAATCTCTTCATAAAAACTTCTACAACTTTTGAAGGCAAGCCATTTCATTGATTAATTGTTCTGTCAGGAAATTCCTTCTTAGTTCTAGGTTGCTTCTCTCCTTGATTAGTTTCCACCCATTGCTTCGTGTCCTGCCCTCAGGTGCTTTGGAGAATAGCTTGACTCCCTCTTCTTTGTGGCAGCCCCTGAGATATTGGAACACTGCTATCATGTCTCCCCTAGTCCTTCTTTTCATTAAACTAGACATAACCAGTTCCTGCAACCATTCTTCATGTTTTAGCTTCCAGTTCCCTAATCATCTTTGTTGCTCTTCTCTGCATTCTTTATAGAGTCTCAACATCATTTTTATGTTGTGGTGACCAAAACTGAATGCAGTATTCCAAGTGTGGCCTTACCAAGGCATTATAAAATGGCAATTTCACGTGATCTTGATTCTATCCTTCTGTTTATGCAGCTTAGGACTGTGTTGACATTTTTTTTTGGCAGCTGCTGCACACTGCAGGCTCATATTTAAATGGTTGTCCATTAGCACTCCGAGATCCCTCTCACAGTTACTACTATTGAGTAAGGTACTACATATACTGTACCTATGCATTTGATTTTTCTTGCCCAAATGTAGAACCTTACTTTTTTCATCATTGAATTTCATTTTGTTAGTGTCCAATGTTCAAGTCTGTCAAGATCCTTCTGTATCTTAAACCTATCTTCTGGAATGTTGAGCAACAGCAACAGCAATCTTAGTAATCCCAGGTGCCGCCATAAGCCAGAGACTGTGTAGTTCATTAAGAAAGGACCTCAAATGACTGTAGTGCTAAGCAAGCAAGCCAGCGAGCTAGAACTGCTGGGGGTGAGTCGGTGAGTGCCACGGGTGGGTGGTACTCAGAGCAGGTGGGCAGTGCTACTGAGTGAGAACAGTCCATAGGTGGGCACGATGGAGCAAGGATAAGCCAATGTAGGCTGGGCCACTGGTAGGCACTATGGAGCATGGGCAGGTTGGCAGGAGTTGCTATGGGGCATAAATGGAAAGGGAGCCACAGAGGACATTCTGCTGCCAGGATTCTTGAAGAAAAAGTGGCAGGAGCAAGTTATAGAAACAATGTGTGCAGAGGTGGTATTTAGCAGGTTCTGACCAGTTCTGGAGAACCGACAGCAGAAATTTTGAGTAGTTCAAAGAACCGTAAAATCCCACCTCTGACTGAAGATTTGACAGTATCCTTCCCCTGCCACACCCACCAAGCCAGTAGTAAAAAAAATTGAATCCCACCACTGAGCGTGTGTCTTTTCCTGGTGGCTTCCCTATTGACTTTGCGTGTGGGAATTAAGTAGGGAAGGTTGCAAATGGTAATTATGTGGCCATGGCTCACTGTGACTGGGATAAAATCCCTGTCATTTGGTGGTGTTGTAACTTTGAACAGTCACTGAATGAGTGGCCATAACCTGAGGACTCCCTGTAGTTGCAAGATTTGAAATGTGCCTTGTGCTTTTACCAATGAGGCATTTGGGGGGCATTTTCCCCTTTCTCCTTACATTTAAGGTTTCCTTAAAAGTCCATCTGTTCCAATGCACCCCATGGTCATGTGAGCAAATCTGAGTGCTTGTCAATTAGCTCATACTTATAATAATTGCATCATCTCATGGGAACATGAACAAAATACAAGCACTTGGCAACTTGCTTGCACGTACAACCAGTTGCAGCATTCCAGCCTTGGATCGTCATTTGTCATCTTCTCTGAACCTTCTCATAAGCAAAGTCAACAGGGAAACCGGTAGGGAAGACTGCAAGTCACTCAGACAAGTCTCCCTCATAGCCCAGCCTTTCATCATTTGCATGCACTACTCCCTCCTTTCTTCCTTCACTGGCAAACACCCCATGTCCTGTTACTTTGGGTTCAAATGTGCTTGTACATATGGACATATCACTCAACCCTTTTACTATGGCCTCCCTGCAGTCACATTCATGCCTATATCCCATGTTCTCTTTCCCCACTCTCCCTGCACCCAGCATTCCACCCCTTCCCCCCCGTCCCCATTTCCTCTTTCCCAGATAACCCTGCACTTGCACACATGCCCTTTCCCTAGCCTCCCTGTGTTCACATGCATTTACCCCTTACCCTCATTCCCCGGCCTTCCACAACCCCCACTCCTCCAACTCATGTGTGGCTTGCCGACTCATGTGGGGCCCCTGAGGCCTCCATCTCCTTCCTGAGGCATCCCTGCACTCTTTACCTGGGATCTTTTCATTTCTTGCTTAATCCACATCTCTGGGGTTAAGCAACTATCAAGACTGCCTAGATTGCTGGCACTGCTGATGTAGTCACATGACATCACATATTATGACCACAATGCTTAGTGACCAACAATGCAGTCCCAATTGCAGTCATAGTTCAAAGACTACCTGTAGAGTGTTGTTATTCAGCATTCCAGCCAATCAGACATGCCCTCTTCTAGTAAACCATTTTTTCCCACCTCATTTCAACCAGTAGCATTATGGCTACTTAATCAGAACCTGGTTATTCTTGAAATGGACAGCTGTATTTGGGTTTCTTTTCTTTTCTTTTTCTTTTAAATATTTCTTGTACTTCTATAAATCTTCAAATTCTGTATATGCCTCCTCGTGGATTCAGACAAAGTTACAGGGATAAAATACTATAGATAATGGAGAGTTGTAAAGACTTGCTAATACACAATTTTTAAAATAAACATGCATAGTATGTGCAGAATCCTAGATTATTCGTGTTCCTAGAACAGAATAGGAAAAAGAAGCTTAACACAGTAAATAATATGCCTAGGTCTTGAACAAGCTGTCACAGTTACATCAGGCACTTCACACTGTTTAAAACTTTCTATGCTTCAAATTCAACTTGATATTTCCTCTACATAAATAACTCTTCCATGTTTAGCAGATTTTCACTTTTTAAAAATAAGTTCCTGTTTATGTTTTACTTGCAAATTGCCACTGCAATTTAAATAGCCATTTGAAGGTTTATTTGAAGAACTACCTCCACCTGATTTACATGTACCTGTCCAGAAATATATTGTTGTTCCTTCTGGTGAAATAATTTCCTCAGGTGGGGCCCAGGAGATGAGCCTTTTCTGCCATGTTGCCCCCCTGTAGAATATCAATCTCCCCTCACCAAGGTGAGATTAGTCCTATCCTTGATACTCTTCTGAAAATCCTCAAAACAGCGCTGTGTTGCAGGCTTAGGAATCTCAAAGAAATGGTGATTTAATGAGTTGGCAGCACTGTTTTTAACATCAATTTTTCTCCTTACCGCCTTGTTATTAATAATGTTGCTTGATGTCTTTTTAATTGTACCTGTTTTGGTATTTTGATTTTACTATTTTTATTGCGCAATACCTAGAATCACTTTTCTGTGAGATGGGTGGCTATATAAATAAATGATTTGTGTAATAAAATATATAAAGTGATGATATATAAATAGTTTCTGAGGGTATGAGTCAGTTTAATCAACTTCCTTGGTATACTGAAATGAAAGTTCCACATTTTGCATAACATCTCAACAAACCAAAGTTCATATTCATAGCTATTTTGTTTCATTGTAACTACTGAACAGTTGAAACACCTAGTAATCAAAGGAAAATGTAACAAAGAATGATATGTAAAACAGGTTGTAATAATGGAACAGTCAAGCATAATTTCCAGAGAGTAAGCTCGATTTACACGAATAAAAAATAAACCATATTTATTTAAATAAACCTACCATCTGCATTATATCTTCTATTTTTAAGTGTGTGTCATCTTGATCCTCCTGAGAAAGTGTCCTAAAAATAATTAGCGATATATTTTATATCACAATGAATTTCTGCAGTCTTTTGTGCTACTTTTAATATTTACCTTATGGGTATTCCAAGTGTTTATATATGCTTATTTATTCTACTAGTATGTTGTCAAATCAATCAATGCAGACTCATGGTGGTTTACAAAACAACAAATATAAATACTTTAAAATAATATGTAATCAACATTACAGCAATCAAGAATAAATTATAATTATAAATTATAATGACAGGAAAATTAATTAAACAATACAAAAAAACGAATAAGTCATTCGAAGTGAAATAAATTGAAGACAGCAAAAACAAATTAACCAAATATTTCACAGAAAAATTAGTAGCTGCTTCTGGAACATTATAGGGGAGAGAAGAAGTCTTAATTGAAAGGGGAGGTATTCTGCAAAATGGGAGCAGCAATTAAGCCTCTGCATCTCTTCTCCTTACTTCAACAAAATGGGATATGACCAAAAACTTCCCTAAGATGAACTTACAGGATACATCTCCATGATTGCTGTTTTGAAAGAATACCTAATAAATGATAGCCATAATTCTTAATGTCTCTTCAGAAATAAGTTCCACTGATGCCATGTAAGTCTTAAATTTTCAGAATGATTTTCAATTATAATGTCTCTAGTACTCTATAAATACATGCCAGATACAGTATATTCCATACTACTTCCATACAGTTATAAAACAACACAGGGACCAAGAGAGACCCCTGAAGCACTTAATGTAAAACCTGTCTTCAAAATCACATGGAATTATGAAAAAGCATTCACTGAATGTTCAATCCCTTGCAGATCCACTTATACTGATTTTCAGATCCACTATCTACCAACCTGTTGGTAGGGGTAGCAAATTATCTGTGTCAATTGTTTTAATACAAAGGTTAATTATATAGGCATCAATGTAAGTCTGTCAGAAAATGAGGATAGGTCTTAGGGCAAATAATACCAGAAATAACAGTTTTATGATGCTGTCCAGACTAACATATTTATTATGTTGTTTAATAGCAGTAGCACTATACTGCTTCACAGTGCTTTACAGACCTCTCTAAGTGGTTTACAGAGTCACTGTATTGCCCCCAACAATTTTGGGCCTCATTTTACTGACCTCAGAAGGATGGAAGGCTGAGTCAACCTTGAGCTGGTGAGAATTGAACTGCCCAACTGCTGGTAGCCGGCAGTCAGCAGAACTAGTCTGCAATACTGCATTCAAACCACTGCGCCGCCACCACAGTATAAAATGCTGTACAAGTTTTCTGTAGCTTTTCTTGCAGAAGAATATTTTGCTGCTACTTCTTTTGAAATGTTTGGCTTTTCAATTGCAGCACTCAAAACTGTCTAGAACTGGAAATTATTGCTTTTATCATGTAAACAAGTGGCTTGGATGACTTATTGGAGGGGCTTAACTTCTCAAATTGCTTGTATGTAATTGCTTGTACAGTCGTTAGAATGTTCATATATTTTTAATTTGCAATCAAACTTTTGGTGAAAAGAACAAAAAGTTCCTAATTCTTCATGAGTATAATTTTGCAGTATATGTCCCTTAGAGAAAGATTAAAATGGCTTTACCTCTATGAAACAGTTGATCAGCACCACATTTTTGTAACAAAATTATATTTCCCCCTTTTTAAAGTGATACAGTGAAATTAAACATCTGAATCGATCACACTTCTGTTTCTTTTATAATACTTCTGTTATGGAATTCATAGATCCTCTTTACCTCAGGATATTTGCTGTAGCTTTCCTTTCTTGTGGCAAAAGGTCGGGATCTCTCAAAACTTCTTCTAGTAGATTAAGAACACTCATCTTCAATTCATTATTTAATTCAAAATCCTACAAAACAAAGTATTTCTGGATGAAGAATCATATTACAGATTTATACTTTGTGAGCTAATATGATAAATAATTTTAATTAAATATATACATTTGCTTTATAATTTTTTGGTTGATTTGTTTACAGTCGTTAGCATGTCACAACCTAGCCCATGAATATCACCCTTCTGGCAACTATAATTATCTGATGCAAATCAAGTTCCATGCAAGCCACTTTTCAGCTTTTACAATTAATTCTAATATGATAGTGATATTTTTACCATTATCCTATAAGTTAATTCTATGTTGCTTCATTAAATCCAGAACAATTACATTACTTAAGAGAAATTGGTAGTAAACTGACACTCCTGTGAAAAATAGTTGTGCTATCTATTATTTTTATGTGATCTACACTTTAAGGCACTAGAATATTGTGGGGTAAAATGCATCAAAATGGAAGCTTACAGTTTGTCACCATTTAAAACTGCACCAAAGTTTCAGTTTTAAAAACTGCATCCTCCTGAAACATGTTTTTCACTAGAAGTGCTACAACTTGACTTCCTTTAAATTTATCTTCAATGTACGTCAATTAGTATCCAAACATTTTTTCACCCCAATGCTCTGGGTAGCAAAAATTTAATGGGTTTAACAGTCCTTAACTATTTCACTAGAGTTTTACAGTACTTTGTCATATTTGTTTTTATTTATATATAGGGTACATAATTTTTGCACATATGAATGTTTCTTTACAAAATAATACTTCCTTTCTAGGTTCTTCAGGGCTTTCACACAAGAAAGTTGCCTCCAGAGTTCTGACCAAATTTTTCCACTTCCATGTACATCTGAAATTTTAACTCACCTAAGCATATTTTTCTTTTCATTTTAATTAGCTCATTTTTAGAAGAAGATAATATGGAGAGCCAATTAACAAGAGTTATAATCTATAACTAACATATTCAAGTGAAATCATGGACATCTTTAGACAAGAAAATCAGAATCTTGTATAACCAGAGCCCATGGATTCTAGACAATATCCAGAAAAATTATTGAAGAAAGTTTTGATTTACAGGTTAAAATCAACAGAAACATTTTTAAGAAAAGTGAGCACTTTCATAAGCTTATTGTAGGACCAAAGCAACTTATAAAAATAATGCTGGATACCCCATGAAGTTCAGTTTGTAATGAAAAAAGTTTGTTTGTTTTAACCAATTCAGACTTCTCTTCTGAAACAGCAATAATAATGCTAGTTATAATAACAGTTCTGTATTAACATACTCCAAAGACTGAATTCCTATTGGTCCACACGGACAGCAATTCGATTGGTCTACGGAACAGCAGTGATTGGTCCGCTAAGAATCAACCGCGATTGGCTGAGCCGATCATGGGAGATTCAAAGACCTGTCAGTGGCCGGCGAGCCATGAGCAGTTCCTATATGAAGGGCTGCTGCTGCTCCAAGATCTTGTACAGATCTTAACATAAAATAAAGAGCTTGAAGTACACTGGTCTCACGTCTCTTTTGTACCCGATCTAACAATAACACTAGTAATTAATTAACAGGAGAGTTTATGGAAGGAGACATTATCTGCACAAGATAGATAATTGGAACTCAGATAATTTTAGGTTATTAAAAATAGTAATTTTACCTAATTATTTTCAATGCAGAGTGAGTGCTTTAGAATGGGAAGGAATACCTACAGCATGTCAAATCAATAGGCCGGTAGATGTTCTGCTATGTGACTATGGAATCTCATTTATCCTTAAAAGTATGTGTTTATTTATCTCAATCCTACAAAATAGAACAGTCTATTTTACTCTTTCCCTCCCATTTAATAGATATCCCTTCTTCCATCCCATAAACAATTAAGACTATTTCAAAAAGAATATGGTAGAAGACAGCCATCAGTGAATTCAAGTGTTGAAATACCTTCTGTTGATGTTTATGCTTGAATTAATTGAAAAGCACTAACTGAAGTCATTTATATTTCAGGTTACTGCAGATGTTTCAATAAAGGATTTAAACTAAAAGCTTCATGTCTCCAATATTTTGTAGCAATCTATTTTATAATGAATACCATCACGTGAGAAGCAATTCAGAATATGTTGCCATAGAAACAGAAACAATTATCACCAGCAAAGTTCTTGAAACTCTTGCACATTTAACTTTCCATGTAGCAATGTGAGAGATCTATGATAGAATTTTGTGCATATCTTTTCAAATAATTAACCAACTATGCATTTTCCTGAGATTAGAGTCTCTTTTGATTTAGTCTGTTTCATGCTTTGAGTTTTGGTGTACTTTTGTTTGAAGGATTATATAACAGATTGCCATGATACCAGTTTGCCTGCCTGTTATGACTTTTATAATATCTCCTCAATAATTTTTAACAAGACATGTTAAAAGGCCATGACAGTAATGTTATATTAAATTGGGAATGTCATGCTTCGTGTTTCTAAGGAATAGCATAGGATAATTTTTTAAAAAGAAATATATGCTTGAGAGGCTCTTGAAATAAAGATGTTGACAGACAAAGTGTTCGTTTGGGCTCTTGAATACACTGGAACATGTAGCATTTATCAGATTTTTTCCTGATTTTTCTTTTAAATCTTATGTTTTAATTTGAAAACTAACTGAACATCATAATGTATGTTTGTGGAGAATTTGAATCAGTGTTGTCCATAAAGGATTAAAACCTGCAGAATAAGTGGCACGAGTGGCAATCAAAAATCAGGATCTTTTATAACCAGAACCCATGGATTTTCCAAGTTTATTCTCATGCACAGACAAAAGCCAGAGGTTTCACTCAAGACACTACACTTGTCCTCTTGCAAATTTTGACAAATCCTCCTATAGACACGCATGAACCTCTTCACCCATCCCTCAGCAGTTCTAGAGTATACTAATGAAGTCAGGAGCTTTTTAAAGTTTATTTCTAATAAGAAATAGTTACTTCTGTAAGGTTCAAGTATAAAATTATAATCTTACTTTTTTTTAAAAAAATATTTGATACTTACAACTTTGCAAGAACAAATTTCAGAATAAATGCAGTTCATTATCCAGACAATGTTCTATGGCTGGTAAATGGAAGCTAAAGAAGCTGCCCTGATAACCTCCTACTCCCTACTCACTCAGTAAAGAGAATGAGAGAGACATGAACAACAGTGGAATATTTCTCCTCTTGTGAGCTTCTACCAAGAGGTAGCATGTTACAGCTACTACATAATCCATTGTCATTTTTAGAGGTCAAAGTTAAAGTTGGGAGTGAATTAAATTCTCAGCAAAAATGTTCTATATCAAGTATCTTTGAAGCAGAAACAAAAGTTAACCTCTAATAGCCCTTTTAGTCTTCAATGCAAAATTACATTGCATGCAAAAGCATCATATTTCATTGTCTTAAATGCAGATACTGTGATTTTTAAATATACTCCTATCTGAAACATGCCAAAATGGAACATTTTCCTGCCAAAATCCCTTTCTGCTCTTCCTTACAGATTCACCATTGTGCTGTGTGGTTGCTTCAGTTGTGGATCCTTGTCTCCTACTTTTTCCATTTCTGCTGTTTTTACTATTGTTACTATGGGATCAAAATTGCATCAACAATATGTCTAAAATGAAAAGAAAAATGACCTCTCTAACACTAGAAATGAAGTGGGATGTATTCCTGTACATCTAATGATCCTTGGACCTAGCATGAGTTTTTACTGTGAGTGAATTTACTACGCACAAGATAAAGAAGAATGCTAATAGCATTTGAAGTGCCATGTCATGCCCCTGTCAGAGTCTGAATCGAGGAGGAAGCCAAACAGCTGACAGGGAATGGGAGTGTGGCTCCCTTGGCTATAGAGGGGGGCTGGGAAGGGCAAAGTCCGGCTGGGCAGAGTAGGGAAAAGATAGAACAAGGGAGACGGAGTTCAGAGGAAGAACCAGGCCCACTCCTTCATCATCCTAGGAAGGCACACAAGGAGGAACGGAGAAGAGAGCAATGTGGTTTGTGTGCGTCCAGGGGAGGAAAGGGCCCTGATTCCCTTCATTAACCACAGGTGGGAAGACAGTTTATAAGAAAGGCAGGCTGCGTGCGGCAGGCTGTTGGGAGCAAATGGAATTTTATCTTGTGTTGTTGTGACTTATCTGTGTTCCTGGCATACTCCCAAAACTTCCCTGTGTGAGTTTTGCCATGCTTTCAAGTCTGAAATTCTTGCTCCTGCCCTGCCAAACTAAATTACTTCAGTCCGGCTTCTTTGGACTTAATTTTCTGCAGTCAAAGGCTGTTACTGGGAGAGTTTTTCTCCAGCCAGAAGGTAACCTGGACATTGGGGGCAAAATTGGAGATAATAAAGGGACTCTTATTGATTATCTGTCTGTGTTTCCTTGTGCCATGTCTCGGGTCATCACATGCCATGATGTATTTATGTACCTCTTTGTCTGCCATGATAACCATGCACATTAGAAATCCAGTAGGAGAAAAGGGAAAGAAATGTGTTCCTGTCACATGGAATATGAGACAAGGAATAAAATACTTTTGAGTGACATAATGCTTAAGAAAAAGGCTCTGAAGGTATAGGAGTACATTTATCAATGAATTATGGTTATAAACTTTTGATACCATATTCCACAACTACCTTTTTTCATCAGTTAAGTATCTCTTGTTATGGAAATACATTTTATGTGAGGAATTTAACTTAGGAATGTAACTTAGCATCAAGAGAGGGATAACTGAACACATTTAAACAAATGCTTAAAAGCAAACCAAAAGTTATCTAAAGTTCAATTCTAAATGTGCAGTTACCTTATTTCAACATACACTACACATTCTGATTTACAGTAGAAATGAATTATCCTTATTTTCATTTATTATATTTATGTCCACCCTTTTATTTTTATAGCTCAAGGTAGCATCACAGAGCCTCAACAAGTCTGTGACTTACCATAAGCTGGGCTAAGAGAGAGTGACCAACCTAAGGACTCTCAATCAGCTTCTATGCTTAAGGATGATTAGAACTCAAGGTTTCTAATCCATTTTAA